CTGGCCGAAAATTTAGGTTTTCTTAAGCATCGCCTAAGGTGTACGTCCACCTGCCACATCTTTTCCTCCAGTTTGGAGGGGTGTCCATGCCTCCTCCCCGTCGGCCTCCTCCTCGCTCCTCTTCTCCTCGTCGTCGGAACATCTTGCCATCGGAACCGTCGGGCGGTGAGAGCAGAACCTCAGACAAGTCCTCCTCCTCCTCTTCCTCCTCCTCCTCCTCCTCCTCCTCCTCCTCCTCCTCCCTCCTCCTCCTCCTCCTCCTTCTCCTCCTCCTCCTCCTCCTCTTTGTTTGGAGATGAGGGCCACAATGTAAGCGAAATCGACCGCAGAACCCAGTCGGTCAAACTCAGAGTCGGATCTAATGCCGGACTCGACAGCGCAAGAAATCCTCGACGCGAGGACGAGGGCCACTGCGCGCACGAGATTTTGACAGACGATGGATGGACACAACACTTCACTTGACGCGGTGGATGGAACCATCTTGCGTGTCAACATCGGCCTGCCTGGCGTTACCAATCCGCGCAAACGCCCAATGTGCTCGAGCCCGCTGTGCAGCTCTGGCAGCCCGACGCGCCCCCCCCCCCCCCCCCGAGGGGCGACATACCACCGCAACCTTTGCAGCTTGGACCCGAAACACTTTGGCGCGACTTTGTGCCGCGCGGCATATTCGGGCGAGGCGAGGCTGATAGGAAGGACCCTGGCGCTCCAAACAAAAACGGAAACATTCCGAAAGCCAGAGAGAGGTCAGAAGCTCAGCCCCGATTGCCTCCCTCCTCGCTCCTCCACCCTCGCTCGCTTCCTCCCCATTGACTTCCTCTCCTCCTGCTCGCTCCTTGCTGTCCTCCTTCCGGATTTCTTCTTCCATCGAACTTTCGAGAAGGTCCTAAAACATTGTAGCGGCCCACAAAGACGTGCCCAGAACGAGCAGACGCGTCCGAGAACAGAAGCTGCGAGGGCCGCTCCAGAGGTTCTCAGGGATACCCCTGCCGAGAGCGAGGACCGACTACCCAATCCATGACTCTGACCATCCCGTCGCGGGCTCCACCGCCCAAGCACTGGTCTTGTCCTCGCCACAACCCTGGGCCCCTTCAAAACCTAATGCCCCTCCCAACTCCCTGCGCCGCCCTCGCAATTTGGAGCTTCACTCCTTGGGGACTTTCGCTGCCAACTTACTCCGCCCCGCAGAATCACCGGAGCACCCGCCTTGGACAAGAGGAGGACGCGGCCGCAGACGGAGCTACCCAAAATTGCACGCGCATGGCACACCTGGTTTGAAAGGGTCCTGAAGAACCCGAGCCACGAGTGGATATTCCACGGAAGAAGCGATGAGGCAAGGAGGAGGAGGAAAAGGAGGAGGAGGAGGAAGAGGAGCCCTCATCCGAATGGTCGAACACCTACGCACCACCAGAGGAGGAACACCCTATGCGAGCATACGGGGATGAGCATTCTGGATCCGGCAATCCACCTACTCGTTCTTTTGAATGTCTTGACGTGTATGCGTCTGTACATGATGTATGTATGTATGTGCATATATATGTACATACCCCTTAGAAACAAATATCCCTTACAGACAAGCTGTTCAACTAATATCGTATGTGCGACGCGCCCTGATGACTGCATTCCGGAGCTTGCGTTCTGATCCAGCGTGCCAATGCTGGAATTCAGATGTCCAGGATAGCTGCGAAAGTTTCACTTAGGAAATGGAAACATGTGGTATAATACCCTAAGCAGCTTTCCACAGAGGCCCGACACTCTACTACTTTTAATACCTGGTCGCAATACGAATCCTGCGAGCTCATACTAACTCGTAGACATTCTACAACTACGGCTACGACAACACCAACAACAACTACTACAACTAGTCCTATTCCTATTCCTACTTCTACTAAAAGAACAATAACAGCTACTACTACTGTTACGACAATTTCTACTACTACTCCTGCTTTTGCTACTCGTGCCACTATGACGACAATAAGTGCTACTACCCAGTACCTAGTACTTACTACCTACTGTCCACGACCTACTACCCACTACCCAGCACCTACTAACTACCACCTACTACCCACCTACAGCAACAACTGCTACTACCACTACTACTACCAGTACTACTGGTACTACTACTATTACTACTATTACTACTACTACGTCGAGTATGTATTACACTACCAACGTTACGGCCCAAACTGGTACTGATACTGAATCTAATACTGTTCGAATGCGACTACGAACATCAACATTGGAGTGATGCAGCGCGTAACGTAGATACATATACTAATACAATGCGACTGCTATTAACAGTACTCCTGCTGCTACTCATTATTACCATTACTACGACTGGTGCGTACAACAATCTCACTATTACTATGGACGCTGCTGCTACTATCACCAACGCGGTACTACTACTACTACTACTACTACTACTACTACTACTACTACTACTACTACTACTACTACTACTACTACTAGTACTACTACCACCACCACCACCACCACCACCACCACCACCACCACCACCACTACTACTACTACTACTACTACTACTACTACTACTACTACTACTACTACTACTACTACTACTACTACTACTACTACTACTACTACTACTACTACTACTACTACTACTACTACTAGTACTTAGTACTAGTACTAGTACTGGTACTACTACTACTACTACTACTACTACTACTACTACTACTACTTCTACTACTACTAGTACTACTACTACTACTACTACTACTACTACTACTACTACTACTACTACTACTACTACTACTAGTACTACTACTACTACTACTACTACTATTACTCACTACTACTACTACTACTTCTAGTTCTACTGCTACTACTACTGCTGGTAATGGCATTGGCACTAAGACTGAAACACATGCTAGCAAGAGTATCACCACTGTGACTTCTACTGGTACAGCTATTCGCACTCTTACTACGCATGCTAATGCGTGTACAAACAAAAGACACGGGTAACCACATCGCCCGACCGATTCCAGATCTGGCAACGCACGGGGGGCCACGGGAAATCACGTCGCCCGACCAATTCCGAATCCGGCAATCCACCGAATAGTTTCTCTGATACCTTATATGTAGAACCTTTGCAAGCAAAATGTTTGGGGAATTATGAACCATGCAGCAATCCGGAATTCGGATGCTACTGCTGGCTGTCAGGTCGCTTCTGAAGACAACACATCTATTACATTATTGTCGGCGACGCGGGATGTGGATCCTCCGTGCATTTAGAAATTCGAGCACTGTGGACCGGTCCCAAATGCAATCTGGCGTCTTGGACCTGTTGAAGCGTGGTGCTCTGAAGGCAAGAGCTGCCAAGACATTCCAAGCGACATGACGATCTTGTCGGGAGAAAGTGGGGGTCGCCAGCGGCGGAACACTTCGCCAACAGGCGCCATGGGATCTGGCAGCCGCAGGTCCACGTTCGTGATCCGCTGGATGGCCTGCGGGGTGGGAGAAGAACCGTTCCTGAAAAAGGGAGGAGCACGAGAGGATGGTCTTCGACCCGGTGTGGGGGATTCTATATGGAGATGGGATGGGCAGCTCCGAGAGAGCGCGTTTCACGGGCGCTTGCCCTGGGAACATCTGGCGGCGCGTTTCGAACCTGGGGGTGGGCCCCACCCCCAACACTCTGCGCCGTCGATCAAAACCAGGGGGACCTCCCTCCCGCCTAATCCCCACCCTCTCGAACCCCCCCCCTCCCGAACGCCCCCCCCTCCCAAGCGCTGGCGCTGGCGCTGGCGGCCGCCAGCAACGCCAACGGCGGGGACGCAGCGACGATGACCAGAAGAGGCCAAGGGGGGGGGGGGGCAACCCCCCCCCCTCCTTCCGCCCCGCGCCGGCGCGCCGGCGCCGGCGCTGGCGGCGGCCAGTAGCGCTGACGGCGGGGACGCAACGACGATTACCAGAGAGGGCCCAGAGGCCGCAGAGGGAACACACAACTCGCCATATCGAGCCCTCGCCCCCCAGAAGCCACCGAGAGGCCCTTAGGAAGGTCCACGAGGCTGCACACATGCTCCTCAGACGCCCCCGAGACCCTTCTGACGAGACCTCAAGAGGCATCCATTAGAACTCTGAACCAAAGCCAAAACACGGTGGCGGGAAGAGCCGAAGGACACACCACCACCACCACAAACCACAACAACACCACCACAACCTCCACCACCACAACCACCACCACCACCACCACAACCACAACCACCACCACAACCACCACCACAACCACACCACAAACCACTACACAACCGCCACCAAAAATGCCACATCTGCCAGCACCACCACAACCCACCACAACCCACCACAACCACCACCACCACCACCACCACCACCACCACCAAAAAACACCGCACCATTACCAGCACCATCACCACCACCGCCACCACCACTACAATCACCACAACCCACCACCACCACCACAAGCCACCACACCACCACCACCACAGCCACCAACCCCACCACCACCCACCACCCACCACCACCAGCACCGCTACCAGCAGCAGCACCCACCACCACAACCATCACCACAACCCACCACCACCACCACTACCACCACCACCACCACCACCCACCACCCACCACCAGCACCGCTACCAGCTGCAGCACCACCACCACAAGCCACTACGCCACCACCACCACCACCGCCACCACCAATACCACCACCACCACTTCAACCCACCACCACCACCACCAAACCACCACACAACCATCACCAGTACAGCCACCACCACCACAACAACTCACCACCACCACCACCACAACAACCCACCACCACTACCGCAGTCAACCACACCACCGCGCCACCACCGCCACAACCACCACCACAACCCACCACACCACCCCCACCACGAACCACCACACCACCACCACACACCACCACCACCACAAACCGCCACACCACAACCACCACCACCCCCACCACCACCACAAACCACAACGACCCACCACTACCACCACCACAAGCGATCACCACACCACCACCAAACCACCACCACCACCAACCACCACCACAACCACTACCACCACAACAACCTACCACCACGACAACCACAATCAAAACCACCACCACCAGAACCCACCACCACCACCACCACCACAAACCACAACACCACCACCACCACCACCACCACGACTACCATCACCACCACCACCACCCACCACCACAACCACCACCACAACAAACCACACAACCACCACATCCTCCACCACCGCCACCACCACCACAACCCACCACCACCACCACAACGACTACCACCACCACAACCACCACGACAAACCACCACACAAAAAAACGCCACCACCACCAGCACCACAACAACCCACCACCACCACAACTATCATCACCACGGCCACCAAAAACCACCGCACCACCACCACCACCGCCGCCACCACCACCATTACCACCTGCCACCACAACCGCCGCAACAACGACCACCGCCAACAGCACCACACACCACACCACCACCACCACCGCCACCGCCACCACCGCTAGAACCATCACCACCACCACCACCACAGCCCACCACCACCACCACCATCTCAGAGAGGCCCCAAGGGTCGCCCAAGAGACGCCCAGGAGGCTTCACAAATGCTCTTCAAAGGCCCCCGAGAGCCCTTCGACGAGACCCAAAAATGCATCCATTAGGGCTCTGATCCCAAACCAAGGCACGGTGGCGGAGCGTCGTCGTCGTCGTCGTCATCGTCGTCGCCGTTGTCCTCGTCGACGCTCCCCGCCGCCGCCGCCCGCCGACGCAGGCGCCGTCGCCGGCCTAGAGAGGAAGTCGTCGCCCCCGCCCGCCAACCGCCGCCGACGCAGGCGCCGGCCCGAGGACAGGGAGAGAGGAAACATAAGGGGGGGAGGGGGGGGGCGTTGAAACCCGTCCCCCCCTCCGCGGGGGGGGGGGGGGGGGGGGGCCCGCAAGCCGTCGCTCTCCCACCCGCCCTCCCAACACATACGTAGCACCCGAGCCTGGCCCGAACCGCAACATATTCAGCAGTCGTTTTTGGATGGGCAGCTACTGGGGGCGCCTCCGCCGCCGCCGCCGCCTCCGCCGCCGCCGCCGCCCGCCCGCCGCCGCCGCCGCGCCGCCGCCGCCGCCGCCGCTGTCCGCCGCCGCCGAGCGCGCCGCCCGCCGCCGCCGGCTGCGGCGGCGGCGATTCGGCAACATTTTCAGCAGTCGTTTTTGGATGGGCAACTACTGGGCGCCTCCGCCGTCGCCGCCGCCTCCGCCGCCGCCGCCCGCCCGCCGCCGCCGCCGCGCCGCCGCCGCCGCCGCGCGCCGAGCCGCGCCCGCCGCCGCCGGCTGCGCCGCCGCCGTCCGCCGCCGCCGCGCCGCCCGCCGCCGTCGCCGCCGCGTTGCCCCCGCTGCCGAATCGCCGCGCCGCCGCCGCAGCCGCTGCCGCCACGCGCGCCGCCGCCGCCGCCGCCACCGCCGCCGCCACCGCCGCCCGCCGCCGCCGCCGCCGCCGCCGCCGCCCCCGCCGCCGCCGCCGCCGCCACCGCCGCCGCCACCGCCGCAGCCGTCGCAGCCGCTGCCCCCGCTGCAGCCGCCGCAGCCGCCGCCGCCGCCACGTGTGCTCTGATTTGTTTTTTTGACAGGGATGGTGGGGGGAGGCCGCATCGGGTTCGCTGCGCATGCTCCGAATTTGGAGGCAGCGTGTGTGTTTGTATTGTTTTTTTGCAAGGGGTGGTGGGGGGGCACTCATTGTCCCTGGTTGGCTCCCAGTCGCCTGGGGGAGGGGGTGTACATTAATGGGGAACAATGGTCGACCTCCTCCCCCCCTCCATCAAAGGGGGGGGGTCCGGTTCCTCCCCCCCCCCTCCAAGCGACCACAGAAAGCGCTCTTTCGGAGCTCCGAATCAAACGTGGATGCTAGCAGAAAGTGGGCGGCCTGCTGCCAGTGGGGGGCGAAATGTCTAGACAAGTTCCTTCGTAGCTGGAGCCGAACGTCGTCCTCATGAAAGCGGAGAGTGGGCGGGGAAAGAAACTTCTAGACGGGGGTTCTCTGCAGCTGGGGCGAGATTCCGCCCTCCAGCAAGCAAACTATGTACTTTAAGCCTTTGGGCCCCGCATCTCGCGCCCACAACGCCAGCAGACCTCTCGGGGGTGGACAGAACCCCCTGTAGCAAAATCCCCTGTAAGGACAACGACCCGGCACTAGACCCGGCGGGCCCCGCAAACATTGCGGCCCGAATGCCCTCTCGAGTAACGAAGAAAGACAATTCGCCAGTCTACTTGGCAGAGTGAGGGTTATGTCAGCCTCCGACCCTTGGGATCTGTAGCGAGAAATCCAATGAGCGAAATGCATCCACAGTTTGGCACGAAGGCCTGTCATTCGCTGTACCCAGAATATCTGCTCATCGTCAATAGAAACTGGTTGCAATCCTCTTCATCATCCTGCTCCTTCCACTGGTTCAGGCCCTCTCTATCCTCCTCCGCCTCCTCCTCCTCCTCTGCCCGATTCTCTTCTAATCATTCTCATTCTCTCGTCGTCGCCTCCCTCATTCCCTCCCCCTCCTCCTCGTGGAAACTTCCAGCATCCATATATAAACATGTATGCATATACATATATATCCACGTCGTGTGAACACGATGTGATAATATAATGCGACGGCAATCATTGGCGGCAACGCGATGCGCCCGTGGATGCACAAGCTCCATGCGCTTGCACTGTTCAATGATCTTTCGAAGTTTGGAAGTTTCGCTCAATGCCCACGCTCCGAGAACGGTTCGTAACTGCTCGCCTGCGGTCGTCAAACAAGGCACTCGGAGGAAACTAATTGCCATCTTTCGAATTGTGTGAAGGCCCTGCCAACATTCTTCTCCAACGCCACGCGCAACTGTATGCCAGTTGCCTTCGGCTGCGGCACATCTGTCACCTGATGAGCACCTGGCGCGCTGCGCCACCATTCTGCTCGTCCACCTGTCTGGTGAACGTGATTCGATGTTGTAGGAAGAGGCCTGAAACCTTCGATGACACCAGTGAGGTCACTGTGCAGATGAAGGCGACGATGAACACTAAGTCAAAGATAAGACGATGCAAATGATGAACATAGACGCTCATACCCGAGCGGGCACTTAAACCAATCGAAACAATGTATGCCTAAGGCGGTAATGACGGCCACTGAACTAGCGTGCGTAACCACACTCGCCCGCAATGTGTGTATCAAGCCTTCTTTCGTGGCGCTGCCACCAGATTTAACAGACATCGGGTGCCAATGCAACTACTGTCGGAACCACGCCGTATACCCAATGAACATCATAGCCGACCCATCGATTCATTCCATCGCAAACATCAAATGATTCAGTACTGGCCCTGAAGCCCGCGCGCGTGCCGATCGCACCACGGGCCAAGCGGAACGGCCTCGTGAAGCAGATCCGCAACCCCAGCCGAACGGGGTGAAGGCCGATGCTGCACTGTGCAACCCTGTGCCGCCCAGACCAGAAGAACGACCCCCAAACACAATGAATGCTGGACGGGAAAATGACCACGGCCACTGCTTCTTGTTTGCGCCGCCTTCCAGCCGGCCGGAAAAGAAGCAGTGGCTGTGGTCATTTTTCCCTGGTGCCACGCTCAACGAAAATGACCACAACCGCTGCTTTGTTTCTGCGGGCTGGAAGGCGGCAGCAAAAGAAAAGCAGTGGCTGTGGTCGTTTTCACGCCCCGTAAGGAACGACACGGGTTGGGTGGACCATCCCAGCGGGTCTTCCACACGGAACAGCCCTGCGGCGCGCGCTCCAGCGAGGTCCTCGAGGATCGTCACGACCCTCCCCGCTGGGCCGCGGTGCCGCGGAGGACAAGGCGGCCGACTGGATACGCGCGCAGGCGTCCACTATCACCCACGCCAAACAGCCGGCCGTCATGAGACGGGTCAGCATTTTACCACGCCACCGCGCACTAGCGGGATCCCCATGGCGCCGTCTCGGGGGATCTCAGCCCCACAAAGGCACAATCCGCAGAAACCTGCAAAGCCGTACTCATGGCCCTGCGCGCATGATCGCTGTACAACTGTGCCAGCCCCATTGGTTCTCCAGAGAAAACACGCACGTGCCCGCGGCGAGCTCGCAAGCACTCCTCCACGACTCGACAATCTAGTGCTGCGGATGCGCCCGTGGCTCCTATGGAGAGGCGTGGAGGCAGCCAGCCTCGGGATAACATACTTTCTCTGATGCGCTGTGCTCCGAGACGCGCTGAAGCATTGTAGTTGGTTTTTGATGACGGGGACAGCGTTGAACCTTCGCCAGCCACCTCGCCCTGTGATAGTCTCCAAGCTGCGCCAGATTTGGGCCACGCCTCACGACGGTCCACAGCGCCTCCGAAAGTCATGGTGCTATGGGCGCGCGAAGCTGACTTGCATTTTTTTGACTCTGCGCAGCATGTATTCTGCTGAGATGTTTGCCAGGGTGTAACTGAACGCCGCAGACATCCAACGACGACGCCATGCATCCACGCCAAACGGTTGCTGGATTCTCCAGCATACGCATCGCCAACCACTGCAGACGTTCAACACGCTGTTTAAACCTTTGGCATTCCACGCTCGGTTGAAACAGAAGCTCGCGCTCGAATCAACATGTGCAGCGATAGCCGCAACAGCATACTCATCAGCATCGACATCGTAAGCCACTCTACCAGGCGATGAAGACAACCCATAGCAGAATTGTGGTACCATTTTAGACGACAGAAGCAGTTTCTGGAGAATCAAGGATGCTCCTCGTGAACACCTATTCCTCCGACGCAATCGACATTGCCACCGTGCACGCCGCCTTTTCGGTCGGTAGTTTGCTCCTGGCCGAACTCTTACATCATCAGGGCTGGTCTCTGCTAGTTGCGATCCAGCGCGTTGATCCGAATGCAACCCTGGCGACGAGGCTGGGCTTGGCGGCACCGTGTGAAGTAGAGAGCACTAGCACCAGAAAGAGGAAGCTTATTCCACGCCGTACCAAATTGCTTTGTAACCAAGGTAGGAGGACGAGGGTCGGCTGTTTCCCTTGCAGAAGACACCGACGACATGTTGCAAACTCGATCCTGAATCAAGATCCTAGACGCCACGCCAGCCCACAAACGCTCCATCACTTGACGCAATCAACGCATGTGTGCGGGCGAAGAAACTGGGCCTGCTCGTCCCGAACTGATGGGCCCGCTCGCTGCTCAACGCTTCGTACGTGCAGATGCCGACGGCAATGTGCCACTTTGTAAAAAACTACTCTACACATATTGCGGCCACCCTCACCCGCGAAAGCTCTCGCACCCGTCAGAATCACGCCAACCACAACGGACATTGAAGCAATGGCGACGACCACTGGCTGCGGCAACGTAATGGTGGTAATGATGGCGCGTCCGAGGTCCTTGGCCCGTCTGGATTCCCTGAAGGGCGGAATGTTCGCCAGCATCTCCTGGCTCCACAGTGCTTGGGGGGGGATCGTTCCAAACAATATCGTTTCGTTTTGGGCAATGTGCTCTGGTGTATTTTAGTTTCCGCGACCCGAATGGGCCTCTGAATTTCCTGGAACACCCTCCCCTTCTCCTTCTCCCGCCTCCTCCTCCTCCTCCTCCTCCTGTATATTCTCTTCCATGTTCGTGTACACCTCTTCCATCCTCCTGCCTCCTCCACCTCCTCCTTGTTCTCCTCCCTCCTCCCTCCTTATTCCTTGACCTTTGTTTCCCCTCCCGGGACGTGTTATTTCGTGTTACCTATAAGGGATCGCGCCCTCCCCACCTCTCCGGCTTTCCACCTAGCACGTTTCCCACTCCTGGGAAGCTGTTCCCCCCTCCAGGGAGGCCGCGTCGGACAGAGCGGGCTATGCAGGAAGATTTTTATGTATCAGGGATCGTGCCCCCCCACCTCCTCCTCCTCCTCCTCCTCCTCCTCCTCCTCCTCCATCCCCCTCCTCCTCCTCCTCCTCCTCCTCCTCCGCCTCCTCCTCCTCCTCCTCCTCCTCCTCACCACCAGCCTTCCCATTGCTATATTTCCTACTCCTGGGAGGCTGTCCCCCTCTCCACGGAGGCCTCTTCGGACCGAGCGTGCTACGCGCAAACCGTGTTTCGCCTTCCCAACATCTCCAGCCTTTCCAAAACAACGCTTCCCCCTCCTGGGAAGCTGCTTCTCCCTGCAAGGTCGTGTCGGACCAAGCGGGCTATGCGCAAACCGTGTCATTGATCATGGGCTGTGCCCTCCACACCCCTCCGGCCTTCTCACTACCACGTCTCCCTTTCCTGGGAGGCTATTTTCCTATCCAAGGAAGCCCGTTCGAACTGAGCGGGCCATGCGCGAACCGTGTTATTTATCAGGGATCGTGCCCTCCCCACCGCTCCAGCCTTCCCACTACCACGTTTCCCATTTCTGGGACGCTGCTTCCCTCTCCAAGGAGGCCCTGTCGGATCGAATGGGCTATGGGCAAACCGCTGTATTTCCCAACGCTCCTTGGTTGGGTATTCGTATTCAATAGAGCACCGCGGTCGCGTCTTCTCCTCCTCCCGCCTCCTCCTCCTGCCCTCTCTTCGCCATCGCTGGGGGCTGGTGGGGGGGGGGGGGCTGCGACTTGCGAAACTGTCGCCGCTTTCGAGGGTTGCTGGTGGGTCCAGCGGAGTGAGGCACCGCGCAGACCTGAGGTAGACCTCGCCGTCCCTGGGGGGCTGCGACTTGCGAAACTGTCGCCACTTTCGAGGGTTGCTGGTGGGTCCAGCAGAGTGAGGCACCGCGCAGACCTGAGGTAGACCTCGCCGTCCCTGGGGGGCTGCGATCTGCGAAACTGTCGCCGCTTTCGAAGGCTGCTGGTGGGCCCAGCGGGGACCTGAGGTAGACCTCGCCGTCACTGGGGGGGTGCGATCTGCGAAACTGTCGCCACTTTCGAAGGCTGCTGGTGGGTCCAGCGGAGTGAGGCACCGCGCAGACCTGAGGTAGACCTCGCCGCCCCTGGGGGGCTGCGGCCTGCGACACTGTCGTTACTGTCGAGGGCTGCTGGTGGGTCCAGCGGAAGCACCGCGCAAACCTGAGGTAGACCTCGCCGTCCCTGTGGGGCTGCGACCTGAGAAACTGTCGCCACTTTCGAAGGCTGCTGGTGGGTCCAGCGGAGTGAGGCATAGCGCGGACCTGAGCGGGACCTCGCCGTCCCTGGGCGGGCATGTCATGTTGTTGCTGCCTCGCCGACGTTTCAAGCCCCTTGCTCACAGTCTCCTTCTGGACCTTGCGTCTTCCTTAGTGACTCAGGGGTTCACTCAGTTAATCATCGTTTCTCCCTTGGTTGGGGACCTGCGAACCTTCCGAATGCTGCTCGCAGAAGTATATGCGTCCATGTCACGTCGCCGCCTTCTCGTCAAATCTCCCAAGCTACTCCTGCCCCGCATTGCGCCGGGGTTGGGTACGTCGCCAGGGTACTTTTCAAGGACCGTGCCCCCCCCTGGTTCTCCAACCTTCCCACTACCACGCTTCTCTCTCGTGAGAGGCTGTGCCTCCCTCCAAGGAGGCCGAGCCGGACCAAGCGGGCTGTGCGCAATCGTGTTACTTGTCAGAGATCGTGCCCATCTCTCCAGCCTTCCTTGAAGGGGAACTGGGACACACAAATAAAACTAATCCCTAGATTTTCCTATATCTTCTTGGTTTCTGTCTTCCCCCCCACTTCCCATGTTTTCCCATATTTTCTGGGGATTGCCGATTAATTGTGTCTGTGTGTTTTTTCCCCTCCTGATTCCTGCTGCCACGCTTCCCATCCAAAGAGGCCGCATCGGACCGAACGGGCTGTGCGCAAACCGTGCTGTTTCTCAGGGGTCGTGCCCTCCGCACCTCTCCAGCCTTCCCTTCCCGGGAGGCTGTTATCCCCATCGCCAGGGAGGCCGCTTCGGACCGAGCGGGCTGCGCGCAAGCCATGCTGTGCCTTCCCAACATCTCCAACTCTCCCAAACCAACGTTTCCCTTTCCTGGGAGGCTGTTTCTCTCTCCAAGGAGGCCGTGTCGGACCAAGCGGGCTACGCGCAAACCGTGTTATTCATAAAGAATCGTGCCCTCCCTACCCCTACAACCTTCCCAACACAACGTTTCCCCCTCCAGGGAGGCCGTGTCGAACCGAGTGGGCTATGCGCACATCGCGTTATGTATTAGAGATCGTGCCGTCCCTACCTCTCCAACCTCCCCACTACCACGTGACCTAACTGGCTATGCGAAGACCGTGTGATGTATCAACTTGCGTGCCGTCCCCGCACTTCAGCCTTCACAATACCGCGTTGCCCCTCCAAGTAGGCTGTGCCAGACGGCGCAGGCTATGCCGATACCATGTTATTCCTCGTCCTCCCTTCTGTTTCTCCCCCTTGCATTCGTCTCCCCTTGTATGCATATCTGAATGTGATGGGCCCATCACTCATGGTACTACTGTTATGCCCCGTTAATCCCGCAAGGCCCTGAGCATCCTCATGTGGGGAACCCCATATTGCACACTTAACCACAACTTATACATTTCGGTTGCCCATCGGCCTGGAAATCATCTATTAGGCTGCCCCTGCCTCTGCGCTGACCCTTGTTCGCACCTTGTTTCGCAAGTAGCTGCAGGGCCTTAGCTCGGCGATGAGTGGTGCACATATTCCTTCCAAAGGGTAAGCATGCTCACTGCGTATCCGTCGCCGCAATTTACAGCGGCGCGCGTGCGTCGGGCACTTTCCCTCCTTACCTTGACAGTGCCTCACTGAGGTTCCTCACTCTTCGCAGCCCTGGATCTGTATTCGCCACGAAAGGAAGCCCTTCCTGACCAATCTCGCCGCAGGGATTGCGAATCAACAGTCCGCCCCGCTGGGGGCTGTAGAGCTATCCCGTACTTTCCCGTTCATAGTGCTTGCTCTGAGGGCTTTCACGTAGCATTCCGAAGCGCTTCCCCTGAGACTGTTGACTTGCGGGTGGTTGCCCATCGGATCCTGCCTATCAGTCTCCTGGCTTCCCGACGACTGCCCGTACATCCCGCCTACACCCTGCGAAATGCTTTAGAGGGTTAAGAAATTCATAGTCTCAGAATTCGAATAAAAACCCAGAATGTCTATTCAAATCTTAGGATCTACATTGAAACATTAAGAATAATCGAGACTCTGGCCGAAAACTTGGGTTTTCTTAAGCATCGCCTAAGGTGTACTGGGTCCTGCTCTGAATTGCCCGTCCATGCGGTCCCGTCAACAGGGCCTCAATTGCCCTGTCGGCCCCCCCTGGACGTTTCGGGCCCACACGCTGGTATCTCGCCTGCCAGACCAGAGGACCGGGGACCGGGGCGGCTCGAGCAGGGACGCCGGGAGGGGTTTGGCGCAGGAGGTGGAGGAGGAGGAGGAGGAGGAGGAGGAGGAGGAGGAGGAGGAGGAGGAGGAGGAGGAGGAGGACGAGGAGGGGGAGGAGGAGGAGGAGGGCCACGCAACAAGCCGGGGCGGCTCGAGCAGGGACGCCTGGGGGGGCTCTGGCGCGGTGGCCCTGCAGACCACTCGTCGTGGCATCCCCGCCGGGCCACGCGACGAGCTCGGTCGTAGGGGCGGCCGGGAGGATCCCCTCCTGGTCCTGCGGAGGCCCGCCGCCCCCCCCTCCCTGGCCCAAGGATCCCAGCCTACCCCACCCTTCGCTCTTGAGCCCACCCTTGTTCGCCTGCCCCTGCCCCCCCGGGTGCCCTCTCCCTAGCCCGTCCAAGGGCACAGCGGGAGGGGGAGCGCGCGTCGGGTGGCCGCCAGGACGCCCGGGGCAGGGCGGCGGGGGTGGAACTCCCCAGGGCTCCGTGAGAAGGTGCAGGGCTGCCACTTCCTAGGTTCAACGCCCCCCAGCCCCCCTCCCCCTCACAATGTCTGGCTCTTTGAACACATCTATCGTGCTGTCGCTGTACACGTGGAGAGAGAGAGAGAGAGAGAGAGAGAAAGAGAGAGAGAGAGAGAGGGAGAGACAGAGAGAGCGTAGGATCCCTCCGTACTTGCACATATATATATATGTATGTATAGATATGTATCTGTGTATGTGCACACGTCTCTCTCGCACGCATGATGACTATGTCTCTTGGACCTTGTACTTCCCTGTTTCACTGAATCGTGTTTCTTGTATATCTATGTATTTATAGTGTGTATATGTCATATGCCCTCTCTCTACATCTGTATGTGTATATCCTTCCGTCCTCTCTTCTCATCTCATCCCCCCCCTCTCTCTGTCCTCGCTTGCCTCCCATCCCCTCATCAAAATGAGCTCTTGAGTTCCGAGGCGCCACCACTGGATGAGGACTGACGTTTTAACTTACGACTGAACAGGCAACGACCCCCCTCAGCAGACGAGAGGGCAGGGGAGTCTCGGGCGGACCTGAAAACCCCTTGCCGAGACGTGGAAGTGGGACGGGCTGGGCAGAACTGAAGGGGACCCACAACTCGCCCATGGGACCAGACCATGCCAGCGCGCTCACTCGCAGCACGTGTTCGTAGAGGAGAATGCCAAGCGCCCAGACGTCCACCCGGTGGTCGTGCGGCTCGCTGTTCACCATCTGGCGGGCCACCGTTTATGATGCTGCCCAAGGGGCTGAACGCCGTCGGGGGAGCCCACCGCGACCCTTCCTGACGGCTCGGAAGGGAGTTCAGCGAATCTTTCCAGACGTATGGCGGGGGCTGCCCCCTCATCCTCCCATGTCGGAAACGCAGCCCGCTGTACACGCTTCCTCCCCGCCCCTTTGTGGGTCTTGCGAGCGGGATTGGAACGATCACGTCTGTGGTGCAAGTCAGGGGCCAGCAAACAGCAAACATCACACCAAAAATATCCACTAGCTGCCACCGCCTGCCGGGTAAACGTCACTAGATCAGCTGGCGGTTAGCACTTCAACCCAGCAGCTGGGACACAGGGATGAGCTCCTCGAGGACACCATTCTTGCCCTGAGCGTGCGAGGGATGCTTACCCTCCCGCACTCGCTCAAGAGAAGACTTGATGGCCACTGCTGGGGCCCCCCAAGGCATTCTTCTGCAAGCTTGTTAAGCCGTCCTGATGATGTCATGCATCCACAAGCCATGCAGATGAAGATCACCCCTCCAGGTGGTCTCGCGAGCGGGAGGACCCTCTGCATGTGTCCGGGGCGCGGACTGCGGGTCGCCATCCCGCGGCCCTCCTACCCCCCTCCCTCCCCCTTCAATCCACCAATTCGAAAGCACTGCAGGAGATGCCGAATTTCCTCGAAGGCTCGACAACAAACACTCCCTGGAATTCTAATGAAACCGGCGCGACCCCACTTAGGGGAACGCTGGCCATTGCATGGGCGCATTACTAGGCGTTGCTTGGCGTCGCTTGGCATTGCTTGGCATTGCTTGACGTTGCTTGGCAGCGCTTTGCATTGCTTGCCGTTGCCTGGCAGTGCTCTGCATTGCTTGCCATTGCTTGACGTCGCTCGGTGTTACTCGGCGTTGCTTGGCGTTGATTGGCGTTGCTGGGTGTTGCTTTGTGTTGCTTTGTGTTGCTTGGCGTTGCTTGCCAATGCTTTGCATTGCTTGGCGTTGCTTGGCAGTGCTTTGCGTTGCTTGCCGTTGCCTGGCAGTGCTTTGCATTTCTTGCCATTGCTTGACGCTGCTCCGCGTTCTTCGGCGTTGCTTGGCGTTGCTTGCCATGGTTTGTCGTTGCTTTCCGTTGCTTGTTGTTGCCTGGCAATGCTTTGCATTGCTTGCCGTTCCTTGTCGTTGTGTAGCATTGCTTGGCGTTGGCATTGCTTGGCGTATCTTGACTTTGCTTGGCGTTACCCTGGGAATGCAGTAAGGGCAGAATGCCAAGCAATCTGGGGAATGCAATATTGCACGAAGGCCGAACAACCCTGAGGAACGCCACAATAGACAAATAAGACATGACCAAGCAACCCTGGGGAACCCCGGTGCGACCGCGTCTGGCACCATAAACAAATAAGAACCCTTTGGCAAAACCTCCTTTGGTAAAAATCTCCGAGCGAGTGTCGCGGGCGGGAAGCCATGCAAACGCCAACCCAACTCGCCATCGCTCGGACGTCCCTTCTCCGTGTGTTTTTCGATTTCGTGCGTTCACGTTTCCGCAAGCTGACCCAAGATGCTCCTCGACGGCCCTCGCCGAGAAGGCACGCGTGCGAACGATGCCAAGCCACGGCGGTCAAGAGCGTGCTGCCTGGTCCTGAGGTGGACTCCTGCTGGTCCCGTGAGGGCCTCGTGCTCGTGGCGGCCTGCCTGGCTTCTCCCGGGGACCCGAAGACTTCTGGCCCATGGCAGTCCAGCAGCGGCCCTGCGCCGATCCCCTGGGGTTTGGTTGGCGGCGGTCCGCGCTGTGGGCTTCACGAAGGCTGGCCTGCCTGCGCAGGCCTCGCACCCACCAGCTCTTGAACAGAAGAAGCCTTGAGGCACGCCCGAGGGGAGGAACGCATGACGGCGTTGCGGCGGAATGCCCACAGCAGTAGTCTACCCCGTGGCCATGACTACTACTACTGCTGCTGCTGCTACTACATACTCTTCTCCTTCTCCTTCTCCTTCTCCTTCTACTTCTACTTCTATTTCTACTCCGACTACTACTACTACTACTACTACTACTACTGCTACTGCTACTGCTACTGCTACTGCTACTGCTACTGCTACTGCTACTGCTACTGCTGCTGCTGCTGCTGCTACTACTACTACTACGAATACTGCTACTACTACTGCTGCTGCTACTACTGCTACTAACCGTTATCGGTGTTATAGGACAAACTACTGGCACTGATGCTGATACGACTACTGCTACAGATGCGGCTGCTACTACTACTACTACTACTACTACTACTACTTCTGCTTCTGCTACTGCTACTGCTACTGCTACTGCTACTGCTACTACTACTACTATTACTATTACTACTACTACTACTACTACTACTACTACTACTACTACTACTGCAACTGCAACTACTACTTCTACTCCTGCTACTAATACGACTGCAGCTGCTACTACTACTGCTACTAGTACTAATGCTGCTGCTGCTACAACATCAACAACGCTTACTACTACTACTACTACTACTGCTACTACTACTACTACTACTACTACTGCTACGAAGACTACTACTGTTTCGGCAACTGTTGCTACTATCGGCGGTTTTGCTACAGCTAATAATACTGCCATTAGTTTTGGGTACGCACCCTTAAGGCCATGTGGTGTCGACTGGTCAACCGAATTCTGACTTGTACGGTGTCGGCGCCACCATGCTTAGCATGCCAACGCAACGGAGGCCCGCACGCTTGCGTAATGTAAGAATATGCAGCAGTCTTAGAGACATGGAAACTGGCCAGCAACGAATCAGGGAGGCCATCGAAGCCGCTTGCGAGCGGCCAGGCCAAACAACAACAAACATGCATCATTGACGCACACAACCAGCGGCCTGGGAGGACGCGGCGCATCAATCTCTCTCATCGAGATCGGCCGCAGTCATTCGCAAGACACATGCACCCGACAGGGACCGACTACACCGTCAAACCTGACAGGGCCCATTAGCCAACTATAGACACATTTCAATGCAAGCATTTCCGTGGCATGCACTCAAGTTGGCATGCTGTCTTTGGGCGGAATGACCACCAATGTAGGCACACCAATGGAAGCTATGAGCAACGAAGAAGAGCTATTCCAAATGCACTTTTGGCGAGAACGAAACATACTAATATTGAGAAACAAGTCTGATACTCATACTGGTACTCGTACTGCTAGTTCTATAAGCATCACTTAAAGTACGGGCACTCATACAAGTACTGCTACCAACGCTAGACATAATACGAATGCGAATGCGACTGCGAGTGCACATTCTGATGATAATACATGACCTGATGCTGGCAAACGGGTGCTAACGCTAAAGCGGATGTGAGTCTGAATGCTACTGCACATGCGCTCCACGGGGAGGTTGCGCTACAACTACCCCATAAAACCATTTCTGGAACATCGATGGCCTGCACACATGTGGGGATTGAGCTCTGACGTGTCACATTAATCCGAGCCGTAATGCTCGGAGCTTCAATGATCCTTAAACGTGAGGAGCTTGTGTGATGAAATCGTAAATCGCCCCCTCCTAGTTCACTACTGAATATTCGATTCCTGCGAGGGTTGCGCCTGGGAAGGTTGAATAAACGCAGGACAGAGTGCCGCGAATGGAGCCTGAGCCTTGGGAGCTCCAATCCTCCATGAGGACAAATTCTGAAGCTCCCAGAACACTACTCCTCCCAGAACGTGGGGGATGTTTTTGTGAGGACTTTTTGTGCGGAACCTCTTTTTCTGGGACACCCCAACGAAGGGAAAGCAGACCCGAGCTACCGGCAAACTCCCATGCGGCACGCACAGTCTCCATATGCTGAAGCAGACAGCCATAATGCAGGTACTCAGGAGGTTCAGCATCGATCTTCGATTACCCACTCGCCTCGGGCGAGAGGTAGTCCCACGTGCCGCAGAACGTGAGCCGCGGGGTGCTGTCCTCGGAGTGTCGTGGCAAACAACAAAGTTCTGGTGGGCTCAAACCCGATCTAGGCCAACGGTACAAAAAAACAAAAGCATGACAATGCTTGAGGGGACGGCACAGGCGAAAGACATAAGAACAATGATCCCTCGCTGCACTCCGTATTACTGTGTAATTACGTTGGGACTCATTCACAAGTGCTCCGTAAGCAGATTGGGCCAACAATTTGAATTTACCCTGGAAGGTCAGAGTGCTTCTCATCCATGTGTACCGTGCTGTCCAAACTAGCTCGGTACCATCGTTTACCCCCAGCAGCCATCACCAGCTCGCCGCGTCTAAGCATGCTGTATGGTCGATATACGGTGCGTACACCCTGCGAAATGCTTAAGAAATCATGGGTTAAGAAATTCATAGTCTCGGAACTTGAGTAGAAGCCCAGAATTTCCATCGAAATCTTAGGATGTACATGGAAACGTTAAGAATAATCGAGACTCTGGCCGAAAACTTAAGTTTTCTTAACCATCGCCTGAGGTGTATGCTTTGTGCTACTTGTGCGTATTAATCGTCAATGTTAAGGCGCGGTCC